GGGATTAAGTCAGTGATTGTCGTGAGAAACATATCATTTGTATCAAGTCTTGCCTTTTAGAGAGAGAGACTCAAGGAAGAAGAAGGAGAAGTTTAAGCTAGAGAGAGTGAACTTCCAAGCTTGATCGTTGGAACTTGAACCGTTAGATTCGAGTTTTGACGTTAGAATCGTAACCTATTCTTGTTGTTCTTATTGATCATCCAGCTGCATTGCACGATCAAACCTGTTCCGCACTCCATTCATCGATTTAAAGTTGGTTTTAGAAAGAGAAAACGGTTTTCATGTGTTTTTGGAAGAAAAGCCTCGTTTGATCCGAAAGTTTGCATTAAAGCTCATGTTTTTGTGTTTGTTTTGATAAGATCCTTGAGTATGGGTACCCAGGTCCACGTTTTTGAATTCATAGCATGAAATCTTAGCTTTCGCTATAGCAAGTTTTGATCTTCTCGTGTTCATGTTCTTCTTGCTCTTCATGCTCATATTCTTCATGTTGTCAAGAAGGAAACCCAGTTTTTCCCGACTTCGCTTTCGAATGTGGCCATCGAGGCCACACCTCGGCAAGGAGGTGTGGGATCTCGGACCTCGGCCTAGACCTGGTAGTTGCCCAGCGTGTTTTTCCAAGGATAAGAAACTGTGTTTCAACTTGATTGACTTAGTTTTTAAAGAATGTCGAGGTCATTTGCATGTAAGCTAGACTTGTTTTGAGTAGTGCATTCAATAGACTTTGCCATGTGTTGTAGGACTTGGACTTGCCTTGACCCCGACGTTTGAAGAACTAGGTGAGTGGTATTTTTGATAAAGCTATGTTATCAATGTTTTAATGAGCTCTGCTTTGCTTTGTTTTTGAAAGATATTTGTTAAGCATGAATGATTGTCCTTAGTTTTGTATCTCGTATTACATTTGCTTGAATGACCTTCTCGGAAAGTCCCTTGTGCTAGAGGACTCTAAACTTTCGCAGCATATCTCGTTTGAAAGTCTCTTGTGCTGGAGGACTCTAAACTTTCGCAGCACCTCCCGTTTTGGAAGTCCCTTGTGATGGAGGACTCTAAACTTTCGCAGCACATCTTGTCTTGAAAGTCCCTTGTGCTAGAGGACTCTAAACTTTCGCAGCACATCTCGTTTGAAAGTCCCTTGTGCTGGAGGACTCTAAACTTTCGCAGCACATCTTGTTTTGAAAGTCCTTTGTGTTGGAGGACTCTTGTGCTGGAGGACTCTAAACTTTTGCAGAACCTCTTGTTTTGAAAGTCCTTTGTGCTGGAGGACTCTAAACTTTCGCAGCACCCTTGATTTGTACTCTAGTGTTAAAGGGCTAAGGGCCTTTGTAACATAAGTCCCTCGTGCTGGAGGACTCTAAACTTTCGTAGCACATCTTGTCTTGAAAGTCCCTTGTGCTAAAGGACTCTAAACTTTAGTAGCACCCTTATTTGAGATGCCTCTCTTGCTTTGTCTTGTTTTGCCACGGACGGTTTACCTCGTGGATACGTTTGTCGAAATGTTAATATTTGTAATATGTGATGCTAGTAAGTATCCCTTGAAGCTTTGAAGATCTGTTAGATGGACGAGGTCCATTCCTTGTTATATATAAAGCTTTGTTTTGTATTGTTTTCAAAGGACTTCGGCTATTATTCATGCAAACCCTGTTATTATTTATACCATTCACTGAGTGCCCAAGCTCACTCTCTCTATATATATGTAGGTGATGAACAAGAAGGCGGTGACGCCTAGATATGACTCTGGAGCTTATTTTGGGTTTTTGATTATGTCGGCTTAACCTGTAATTACGTCGGCAGTCTTGAAAATTATGCTTCTCGATTTGTATTGTTTTGAAAGGACTTCGGCTATTATTCATGCAAACCCCGTTATTATTTATACCATTCACTGAGTGCCCAAGCTCACACCCTCTATATATATGTAGGTGATGAACAAGAAGGCGGTGACGCCTAGATATGACTCTGGAGCTTATTTTGGGTTTTTGATTATGTCGGCTTAACCTGTAATTACGTCGGCAGTCTTGAAAATTATGCTTCTCGATTTGTGATACTTGTATGTTGCATACGTCGGCTTGAGAAGCCTTCTGATCAAGATGTGTGTTTTGTATACATGTTATGTCGACAGTGAGGATGTCGGCAATCCTGAAGATTTTGCTTCTAGCAGTATTTCATGTATTTTTGTTCATGTCGGCTTGTGAAGCCCTTTTGTTAATATGAAGGATGTAATTTGTACCTTGCTTCGTTTGTAATTGAGTTGTAACCCGTATGCTGATGATTGCTATTTCATTTAACTTATGCACCGCTTCTATGGACTAATTTGTTTGTATAAATCGCTTCCGTACTTGTTAGCCCCATATAATTATACTCTGATGGTGTATGGATTTTGGAAGTTGGCCTTGGTAATCTCGGATTATTGGCCATCACGGCACCAAACTACTAGGGGCGGTTTGGGGTCGTGACATTATGACTTAAAGGTTCATTCCTCTCCAAGAGGTATACCTTCTCTTGCTTTTGCACCATCTCTACACCACTTGTTTTCCATCTTTTCTATTGTGTTTTGGACTATTTAAAACATATATTTTTGGGCTAAAACTTGTGGTTTAAGGCCATTTGTGACAACCCTCACCTCTGATTAATGCTAAACTGTGACTGAGAATGATAAGTAACTGATTTGACTGAAATTATGAACTGAATGCATGAGTATATTGCTTTACTTGCATTTCTATCTGTTTGTCATTTGATTGATCTATTCATGTTTTAAGTTTCAAACTGTAAATTGAAGGCCTTATTGGCAGCCGAATCTGAAATTGATTGATATTTTATGCTAATTAGAATTTATGTGATTTTATGGTGGATTTAATTGAAATGTAATTTGGTATGATTAAATTAGATTAAATAAAGCTAAATTACATTAGTTCAAGTTTATTACAATACTGCCATTGAGTGAGCCACTTTCATTAGCATTCTTTGAGGCTCAATTTATACACTTAGCTTATCACCTCTTCAGCCAATTTTTTCTAGACCAAACCGTATGAGAGAGGAGACACTACTACAAAATCATGAATAGATCACACTTTTTTTGTGTGATAGATGCTATTTAATCACACTTTTTAAGTTTTATTAAAGTGTGATCTTTGAGAGTGTGATTAAAAATGGTCATTTTTAATCACACCTTTTAAGTGTCATTAAAAAATGATTCCATCACACCTTTTAAGTGTGATTAATAACATTTAAATCACACCTCTTAGGTGTGATTAAAAATGATTCCATCACACCTTTTAAGTGTGATTAATAACATTTAGATCACATCTTTTAAGTGTGATTAAAAATAATTCCATCACACTTTTTAAGTGTGATTAAAAATGATTCCATCACACCTTTTAAGTGTGATTAATAATTAATAAGACATGTGATAATAAACCTTTAAATCACAGATTTTAAGTGTGATTAATATCTAATAAAACTTATGATTAATAATGAGATAAAATCATACTTTTGTACACTTTCAAATGCAATACACACTATATACTATATTTTGAATCACAATCACATGTTGAATGGAATAACGTCATATATTTCATAAATGAAAGTTAAATGTTCAAAAATATATACAAAGGAATTAATAAAAGTTTTTAACTGTGATTACATATATTAAAAAATGAAAAAACTTGAAAAAACTAAGTTCTTGAATTATTTGACCATATTTTGCATCTCTCTTGGAAATTTCTGACCTAAAAAATAAAAACATAAATTTATTCAGAAACCGCTAGAAGCATATGAATAAACTTACTATTTTTGTAAAGACTGTTCTTGTTTTACAAAAGATAAAATCAGACATTTTCTCATCACACTAACTCTTCAACTCCTGTATCAATAGAAAAGGAATAACAACTTTGATTATGACTAGTATAAAATGTTTGGATTACCATATAGATATGACATATACATAGACACTACTACAAAATCATAAATAGGTCCCACTTTATTTTACATTGCCTACTTCTTAAATATTAAAATCAACAAAATTTATTATCCAATCATCACCTATAACAAGATTATGCTGAAATTTCTTTCTTTGCTCAATGGTTATCCTCTAAGCAACTCAACAAAGCTCACATCATTTCACAAAGTCAATCAGGAAATAGCTCTCTGTGTCAGTTTCTTATTTTCAATTGAAAAAAATTGAAAAACAAATATGGCAGCTGGTAACATGCCACATGTTCGGAGAACTCAGTCAGAAAAATTTCTATACAAAAAATCAGGATTGGATAATTGGGATTCATAATGTAACAAAATGAATTAGGTGTGATTAAAAATGATTCCATCACACCTTTTCAGTGTGATTAATAACATTTAGATCACATCTTTTAAGTGTGATTAAAAATAATTCCATCACACCTTTTAAGTGTGATTAAAAATGATTCCATCACACCTTTTAAGTGTGATTAATAATTAACAAGACATGTGATAATAAACCTTTAAATCACAGATTTTAAGTGTGATTAATATCTAATAAAACTTATGATTAATAATGAGATAAGATCATACTTTTGTACACTTTCAAATGCAATACACACTATATACTATATTTTGAATCACAATCACATGTTGAATGAAATAACGTCATATATTTCATAAATGAAAGTTAAATGTTCAAAAGTATATACAAAGGAATTAATAAAAGTTTTTAACTGTGATTACATATATTAAAAAATGAAAAAACTTGAAAAAACTAAGTTCTTGAATTATTTGACCATATTTTGCATCTCTCTTGGAAATTTCTGACCTAAAAAATAAAAACATAAATTTATTCAGAAACCGCTAGAAGCATATGAATAAACTTACTATTTTTGTAAAGATTGTTCTTGTTTTACAAAAGATAAAATCAGACATTTTCTCATCACACTAACTCTTCAACTCCTGTATCAATAGAAAAGGAATAACAACTTTGATTATGACTAGTATAAAATGTTTGGATTACCATATAGACATGACATATACATAGACACTACTACAAAATCATAAATAGGTCCCACTTTATTTTACATTGCCAACTTCTTAAATATTAATAATCAACAAAATTTATTATCCAATCATCACCTATAACAAGATTATGCTGAAATTTCTTTCTTTGCTCAATGGTTATCCTTTTAGCAATTCAACAAAGCTCACATCATTTCCCAAAGCCATGAATCATGAAATAGCTCTGTATGTCAGTTTCTTATTTTCAATTGAAAAAAATTGGAAAACAAATATAGCATCTGGTAACATACAGCATGTCTGGAGATAAGTGGCCCAACCACCAAATAACTCGGTCAAACGACATAGCATATTGCAACCAATATATGATGTCTATTAAAAGAAAAATAAAAATGCAGGAACAAGATTTTAAACCACATAAGTCAAGTCAACCTACTTGAAGCTGTCCAAACGAAAGAAAGAAGCATGTTAGAAAATCATGCTTACAGTATCTGCACAAATAAAGAAATAATAACAGGTTTACATAATAAGGTCCCCAGATTAAAGAAACAACCCTCAAAAGAGTCAAATAGAGTGTACCCACCGTGCATAACTTACAAATAAATTACGTGCCAGTGTTCAGGCCTGCATCATTCCAAATAACTCCAACGGTGGCCTCTGTGTTTAACAAATGTATGTGGAAAAGACAAATAAATCATAACCCAAGAAAGTGACATTTGTTTGCACTCCACAAATGTTAATGGATTCATCTATAGAAGTATATTAAGGCATACAAATTACTTAAAATAAGTATATATCACAAGTGATACCTTCTGCCAGATATTAAATAGGACAAGATAGACAAGGTCGGTATCACAACTTTCAGTTGTCTTTCTCAGAGCTGTATCCTCCTCCACAATGCTTAGTAGTAGAGGAACTTGAGACAACGATCAAAATCTCTTACAAAATAACTAAAGCCATCATTCAGTTCTTTAGAGAGACATTTCTCCAGCAAAGGATTGAAAGAAAGAAAAATAACGAAATAGTGGAAAAGAAAGAAGAAAGAACCTACTTGGAAGAACGTGGTTCATGTTCAACAAGCATAGCAACCAATTTACGTCTGCCACTCTTATCCGCATGAGCAGCAACTGCTGCATAAGATATACTTCTGCATATTTTTAACTGGACAAAAACAACAACAAAAATAAAAAAAAATTACTGCCATACTTCACAATTAGATGGCATAGAATGAACAAAATCACCACTTCCAGGCTAAACTAAATAACTACAAAAGATAACACAAACCTTATCAAGTAAAATTTCAAGAAGAGTGATATCAGGAATTGCTAAAGAAGCTATTATCTTTGCACATGCCCAGTGCATTATCACCACTTCCTATACAAACCAAACCAAAGAAAATGAGCATATAAATGATGTCATAGTTTGCAGTTCCAAATAGAAGGCAGCAGTTAAGTCAAAACAAAGTCAACTAGTTTTCAATAATAGTACGTGACACCTAGGCTATGAATGCATCTCAAATTCCCCTTCAAATAGTTACTAAAAATGATTCCAATTATATGAGAAACCATATCATTGCAAAATTCTCCCACCAGCATTGCAAAGAGCCTCTTTTTCAACATTGAAAAGAGAACAGACCGTTGGCATAGAGTCAAATACTAAACCACTAGCAGTGAACCGAAGATGTAAAAAAATATTTTAATAGAACTTGAATGAGCTTAGATGGAAAAGCCAGTGTATTTGAGCTACACGGTGCTTGGAAATTAACATATGTTTACTAACAAAACTAAAACTAGAGGTATAATCACTTAATTTGCCAATGATTAATTTATGTTGCCAATGATTAATATGGACCCCAACCGGAAATGTGTAACATAATGTATGTTTACTAATAGAACTAAAACCAAAAACTCATCAAATAAAATACTTGTCATAAAGTTCTCAACTTTTGGCGTCATTGGCACCACTTGTGGGGCACTGAAAGGTTGGATCTGGTATTCCAGATATAGGATTGTCATATTATAGCAGATTTCTTTCATATGGAAAAATACATTCAACCCACTAGTTGATGGTCCATATGAAACAAATGATATTTAAGGAAATATTTTTACAATGATGGACATTGTTAAATACATAGCAACACAGTAGTTGATGTTCCCCATTATTGATCCATTGTTCTGAAAATATGCTCAGCATGATAGGAAAAATTATTGGTTGGTTCAAAGGTGCCATGTAGCAGTATCCCAAGACCAACCAATAACTTCTCGCATGATAGTCATGTCCATTTGATTTCAATTGAAATCTACTCTACAAATACTACTAAAAAACAATTGCTCCCGTTATGAAAGCAAATAAAGACTCATTAGCCTATATTTATGGCTTCTAAATAATATGGACTTTTTTGAGTATTCCTTACAAACATGACCGCTGCATTACCATAATAACTTCAATTATGCACCACATAGTTAAGCAAAACAAGAAATCATGCTAAAACTAAGCAATGCAAAGGTATTAGGAATGAAGTGCATAACGTTTTTGCCACTACACAATCAAAGTTGCTATAATACAAGCACTATGACACCAATTACACAAAACAAGAAAAATATATTCCACCATGTTAAGTCAATGTGATCATATTAGCAGTGAACGATGTGAAAGAAACAAAGCTACAAGCTTAAACTTCATTCTAGTATGGAAAACTATTTGTAGAAGAAAAGTCATCTTCAAAATGTCATTTTTCCTTCAAATAATGCTTTGACCCTAAAGACTGCATTTAGCCTTCTAATGAAAACCCTAGGAGGAACCTATTAAGGCTTGACAGACAAGCTATTCATGAAAATTTACACTTAAGAATAGGATAAAATGTTAGTGTCATATAACTTAAATTGTGTATTGATACTTTGAACTGAGTGTGGCACCCATTATTGAAGACTTGTTGGTTTCCTAATTCATGCAACCACAAGTTCTGCATAAAACTCTTCTTTACAAATTACTAACAATTATGGATACCCTTCTCTTACATTTCTATAATTTTTGCTTATAAAAGTTAAGAAAAATGATATATATATATATATATATAATTCTTGGGCTCCTCAAAAAACTGTCAAACTAAAATATGGATTGGATGTTATTTCTGAAACTTAATGCCCAAGTTGCAAGTGGAATCATGTAACATACAAATGCACATTCTTATAATATGCCACCAACAAGATAAGATTCCTTCGTAATTGAACAAAACAATGAACACATTACACAATGGCACAAGGCGATCAATCATTAGAAATAATATAAAATCATATTTAACGATTAATCATTGAACACTGAGGCCAACAATAAAATTTTCTCTGTAATTGATCAAACAAATAAACACTTCAACATAATGCTGGCCAAACAACACTTTGGTGGTGGCTTGAAGTTATCTTGATGAGCTCAGTGAAGGTGATCAAAAGCCCCCAAGGATGTGGTCTATTCACAATCAGTCGTTCCAACAAAACTCTTGTTATTTGCTCCTGTTTAATTTCCTATCCAACAAGGAATACGAAGTTGTGAGCAGATCGCATTTCGCATAACTAGTGTAAAAATCCTTCACTTAACTAGTGTAATTCTCAAAGATCACAAACAGAAGTCCTTGTGCACTTTATGGTTGTGGTGCGCAGTAGTGCTATTACAGCTGAAATGATGCATAAAACAAAAGTCCACTTTCATTTCAAATTTTCTTTTATAAGTTGCATAACAGAACCAGAAATTTATCTATAGGCCATTTACTATGTTCTGTCCATATTCTCAACGGTGAATGATTCTAAAGAAAAATACGAACTCATACCAAATGAAGTCAAATGATCACAATATTTTTACTGGAGATAGTTCAATAAGTTAGGAAGATATTTCAAGAACTCTAGAGCTAAAAACCACTTTATGATGGAGAACTCATTTTTGGAAGAAAACTAGTATATTCAAACAGTGAGTTCAGCAGACTCCAGCACAAGTGGGCTGAGTTAGAAAAATGAACAGAGGCATCAAACGATGTCCAAACTAAGTGAGACCAAAACCATTGGAAAGGTATTTGAGTTAGGGATACTTTATCAAAAGGATGAAAAGTCTAAAAATTAAATCAAGGGGGTGAAAATACAAGTTCAAGCAGTACTGGTCTGTTCTTGTCGCGTTTTGGAAAAATGATTGTAACTCTCTCAATAATTAATATTTTTCAATGATTCTTGTGTACATAGAAAGGTATCTCATATATCTAACATTTGGTACTAGTTTCACTCCATAAGGATTTTTATTAGAGAAAATGGCATAGAAACAAAGTGAGGGTTAATTACTACTCCCAGAGAAATGTATTCAAAATCCGGAATGTCTTTACCATCCCCATCAAATTGAGATACAAGCCAAGTTTTTACTTCTTCAATCTAACTGATATTGAAACTACTTCTGCTTTCAACTAGTGAATGATCATTTTCAGAAATCATGTTGCTCATTCTTTGCACTAATGCTTAGTTTCGAACTTGAACTAAGATATCTTCGATATATATATATATTTTTAGTTTTGAGTTATACAAATTCTATTACTTGAACTCATCATATTGTTCTTATCAAAAAATTTTTTTTAAAAATTAATAATTAAAAAAGTATTAGTTTATATAACCTCGGAATTATATATAATAATATGCAAGAAATGTAAGTCAGTGTAAAAACTACATAAGCGAAGGTTGTGTCTACAATTCATTGGATTATGAAGTAATAATCATAATGGAATATCAAAAATTCCAATGATTAGTCATTTTGATTCGTCATAAATTGGGTTTTGAAGATTGATGAACAGAGTATTTGTTGAATTAGTAAATTGGCAAAACAAACAAAAGTAGATGATAGAACATATGTACCTGAGTGTGGCTCACATACACTAATGCATCATTTGATTCATTTTGTATCATATATATATATATATAGAGAGAGAGAGAGATAGAGCAGCGGCAGCGAGGGAGAGAGGCATGACTTTTGAAGCAACTTGCCAATTGTTGCCAAGTCCGTATGCATTTTAATTCGGAATTTGGTTTTAAAAGTAACTAAAAGATTACCCCAAAATAAATAAACTAGACAGTCCACTCTTGAAATTTAAAAAATATATATATATAAGGAATTCAATAAATTTAACAATTAGCGAATTATTAGTGAAAAAGGTATTTAATGGGCAATGTTTGAATTAAACATAACCAAAAAAAAAAATGTTTGAATTAAAATTGTAATATAATCTAGTGTAATATGTTAGGTTTACGATTCAATGTATTTTTTCTAAATTAAAATTGTAATTTTTTCATTATTTTAGTTGGTTATTTTTGTACATTAAGCAGCACAAATAAATTATTCCCAAAACGGAATTTGGTTTTAACGTGCCAAAACAGACAAAGCTAAAAACGGACTTCCCAAAATAAATTATTCCCAAAGCAAAACTTTCCTTAAACGGCAAAATCACTAATTTGAAGGCCTAAACAAAGGAATTTGGCTAAAATCCACCGTTCATCATTGCCGAGGACGGCAATGATTTTAATTTAAAACGCCGATTCCAATCAGACTACCAAATTTGAGACAATTCCGAGCTCGTCTCAAAAGTTGAAAATTGAATCCAAACATGAATTTCCTATTTTTTAACACTCCATACCGAAGAAACTTTTGTGCCACGTGTCACAACATGACAGGTTGTGACTCGCAAGAAGTTTACTACCCGTCGAAAGACAAGGCCCTCCCTTAATCTCCATGTTTTAGCAGTCAATTATGAATAATTTAAGCATGAAGTAATTTTCAAATCTAACAACTCTGCCCTCGTTTGCATATATAGTAACTGCCTAAAGTTTCATCTTCTTAGATTCATCTGGGCCTTTTGAATTCATCTAATTTGCAATATATATCATAGTTTGGCCATGAGTCCCTACTCCTACAACCAACACCATGCCACAGGTAAATTTTCAATTATCAATTGAGTGCATACATTCTATGTGGCAACTTCTATAAGGTCTCTGGCCAAAGAAGAAACTATGTTTATGTATATTACTCTAATGAGTATTGAGACCACACCAATCACTGAGTGTTAACTACTTTTGACAAGTACATATATATCTATAATCCACCAATTGATCCAAGTCTCCAACAAAAAAACAAAACAAAAGAAATGGTAAATAAATGGTTAGTACAAATGTAAATATATGGTTTATGCAGTAGTGGTGGCAATAAGTTTTTTTTTGTGTTGATTTTTGTAGGGGTACACCCTCCACTATCTGCTCCATATCCTCCACCTTCTATGTATCCCTCACGAGCCGATGTGTATGTTTCACCTCCACCACCAGCACCTTATTCTCCTTTGGTGGCCAGAGTATTTAAAAATGAGCTTCTTTTTCTTTTTCTTTTCTTTTCCCTTTACTTTTTTGGTACAGGAACCAACAATGAGCTTAATTTGATAATTAAGCATTTAATCGAAATAAATTCTACAAAAATCAGTGACTTGTCTCTGTCTTCTAAAGGAGGAAATCCACATGTTTTCACCTACATAATATGTACAGGAAATGGAACATTATTATGTTTCAGGAATTCAATGGCTAAATGTCAAGATTTTTCTGATAATCCTTGTTTTCGCCAAAAATGCTAATTTGTTTTATGAATACTCAAAATAGTATCGGTCTAATGAGATTTTTCTTAAGTTTAGGCGCATGAAGCTTGAAAAACTGAATACAGGTATAAACCAGCCCTTATATTCATCCTCAAGGGAAAAATGAAAAAGAAAAAAAAAAAAGTCAAACAATGCTAGTTTCAAATTTCAAAATCAAATATAAGTATGCACAAAGAAAACAAGTGCAAAGGGGAAAAAATAAACATGAACCTGAAATATACCATCCAAGAACATCTCACCTTCAGATAAAACTATAGTGTTTTCTGAGAAAAAACCTGTTGTTATCTTGTATTGCATGTTAAACAAAATTATGAGGTTGTAAAGCATAATATGCCCAGCAACAAGTGAATCCAAAAGCATATGACTAATATACAGTATCCCTTACATACTAAAAATGAAATTAACTTCAGAATCAATTAATTTCACCAAATTCAATGGAAATGAACTGTCCCAGCATGTTGTCCAAAAGCAAGAAAAGAGACAGATTGATAGTGATAGAAAGAATACAATTAAGAAACAAGGGTTTTATTCAATTTGGTATCAATTCAATTCATAGTTGAACCATGTCCAAGATGTAGAATGTTATTAGCAATTTACACAACTGTGATAAATACCCCAAAACAACTTCAAAATCAATAGAATGAAAAATGATTAAACATCATAATTCAAAGAAAAGCAAATAGGGTTTTCTTCAATCCACGTCAATCAAATTAATTACAAGAGGCAAAAACTACAGGTTTAGCAAATTCACGGTGAAAAAACTCTTAACAGGTTAAAGGGGCAGAGATTTGAGAAGCTGAAAATTATAGTTAGGGTTTGAAATTGGGGAGAGAGAGAGAGAGAGAAAGCGTGTTTACCTGATGCAAGAGGTCTGAAATCGAGAGGATTAGCAATGGTAGAGTGTAGGCAGCTCCACGCACTGCTATCAAACTTCATCTCTCCACCGAACCCCACTGCTGCTCCAACGCTGCTCCAACGCTGCTCCTGTTGCGTTTTGTGTTAGCCACCTTCTTCGAGTTTGCTCTCTGCCTTGGTCAGTTTGCCGCCGACCTCACGGTGGGGAAACAGGGCCGTGCCACCACAGTATGAGACATTTTTGGTGGTGGTGATTTTGAATGGTGGCCTAGGGTTTGTGCTAGTGTGAATGGTAGAGAAAAAAAAGAAACAAATGGAGAGCCAGAGAGACAGAAACATTAGAGTATTGTTTTTTCAATATATATATATATATATATTTGGGGTGTTTGTCGTGTGAATTTTTTATTTTCCCGCTACTTGTTTTTTTGGGATGTTTTGGAAAGTTGATAAAAGGTTGATTTTTGACTTTTTTAGCTTATTTTGTCTTTTTGTGGGTATATAAATAATCACACTTTAATTACAATATGTGATTAAAAATATATATATATATAATAATCACACTTATTTAAAAAGTGTGATAAAAAGTAGTAGTGTATATATAATCACACTTTAATTAAAAGGTGTGATTAAAAAATATATAAACAATCACACTTTAATTAGAATATGTGATTAAAAAATATATATATAATCACACTTGTTTAAAAAGTGTGATTAAAAAGTAGTAGTGTATATATAATCACACTTTGATTGGAAGGTGTGATTAAAAAATATATATATAATCACACTTAATTGAAAAGTGACATAAAAAATAAATATTATCACACTCAATCAAATTAAGTGTGATTAAAATATCAATCTAATTTTTTTTATCACAGTTCCAATAAAAGTGAGATCTTCTTTTTTTTTTGTCAAAGTGTGATCTTTAACTATTTTTGTAGTAGTGAGAGCAAGAGAAAGAGCTTGAGTTCATCTAGATTGACTTGAAACTTAGAAGATTTGAAAGAGAATTGCACATTTGAGCTATCACACCTAGAATTCAATACCTAAGGTAAGAAAATCACTTTCTTAATTACGAATTTAAGCTACTTCTTGCATGATTCATGGTAAATTGGTGATCTAAGTCAAGAATTGACTTAAAGAGTTGATTTGAATAGCTAATTCATGCATGCATGTACATGTTCTTGGAATTTGAGGTTGTTTTTAGAGAGTCTTCACATGCATGTCCATTTTCTAGTTGTAGTTCATGAATTCATCATGTTTTTGGAAGGATTGACTCATTTGATCATGTGCTAGAAGCTTTGAATTCAATTGAACACATGCATGTTAAACATACATCTTGTTCTTGAAGTTTATTTGAAATTCGTGTCTAATTGACTTACCCTTGGGCTTTGATTTTTCAAATTGATCTTCAAAACATGTTATATCATGGGTTTAAAGTGTTTTTCCAGAAAATTGGCCCAAAAGGATCGAATTTGAGGCTTTTAAAATTGAGTTTTGTGCTTGGAGATGAATCTGGAAATTCCAGATTTTGGACCCACGCTCAAGCATAGGACTTCATGCTCGAGCGTACACTCTGAGTCGTGCATCTCCGCTCGAGCGTGGAAAGTCACGCTCGAGCATGAAATGCATATGCCCAGAAGTTCATGTGTTTTACAGTCCGCTCGAGCGAAGGTCGAGCGTCCGTCGAGTGTGAATTGCATGCATCCAATACTTTTCATGAAGTTTGTAGTCCGCTCGAGCGAAGAAAGTCGCGCTCGAGCGGAGCTGCTTTGTCTGCATGTCCGCTCGAGCGTAGAAAGCCACGCTCGAGCGAGCGCTCAAGCGACTGCCCTTATTTTCACACTTCTGCTCGAGCGACCAAAAGTTAGCTCGAGCGTAAATTGCATACTCCTAGAAGTTTACATGTTTGACAACTGCTCAAGCGACAAGAGTTGCGCTCGAGCGAAGACCTGAGTCTTACGCTCGAGCGAAGACCTGAGTCTTACGCTCGAGCGAAGGTCGAGCATCCGTCGAGTGTGAATTACATGCATCCAGTACTTTTCATGAAGTTTGTAGTCTGCTCAAGCGAAGAAAGTCACGCTCGAGCGGAGTTGCTTTGTCTGCATGTCCGCTCGAGCGTAGAAAGCCACGCTCGAGCGAAACCCCTGTTTTCTGAAAATTTTGAAAAGTGTTTTAAAGTGCATCTTTGCATCCTCTTTCCATCTTAGGCATTCCTAGGCCATGTTTAAGGCATCTTATTGAGGATATTGATGTAGAACCACATCGAGTCAAGATAGAGACTAAGTTGTTGATTCCCAAGTGTGTAACTTAGTCTGTGTTCGTTCTGTAACTGTGTAGGGTTGGCATCCAAGGACGCTCATTAGCTGCTTATAGCCCAGTGCTCTGTGAGTAACAATGTTGTAAAGATATGTTCAATCATGAATATTTTCTGAATGATCAACTGTACTGCTTTCTGAAAAGATATTTCTTACTGAATGAATGTTTGTCCTATTTGTGAACTGTATTCGTGGCATCCATAGCAAATTACTGTTACTGTACTATTACGACTACTGTTACAGAGATCTCTGTCGGTTCCAATATTGGAACCACTACTGTTTACTGTTATGATGGCCATCAATTGATTGTTCGGTCTGTTAAGACATACTGCACTATTTTGCTATTGAATGTACCACAAATAACTGTTATGGTTTCTAAGTGATTGATATGATTGTTTAAAAACTGAAAGGACATTCATTCTTAACCCCTTTACGCATATGTTATTCACTGGGCTTTAGCTCACTGTTTATATTTATATGTAGGTGTCCAGGCACCGGACCGGGGCTAGATGAGTCTGGTTAACTCCCTTTTGTCAAGCCAACATTTGTGCCTCACTTCGAGGTTCCGAGTCTGTTCAAGCTAAGGCTTTTTGGAGTGTCTCAGTTCACCCTTCTGTCTCTGTTTTGTTGTACTATTTAAGACTTGCACTGTACTGTTATGATAGGGATTTGGTCCCTAACTTGAATGTCTGTATATGATGTATGTATATACTGTTTTGGTTTTCAATGTGAATATGTTCAGAAAAGTCTTTTTGCATTCTGTAGACACCCCATTTTTGACCATCCTCAAGACTTGGACGTCATCATTTGAACACTCGATGATCATCCATGTTCGTGTTCGTCTTGAGTTCTCGGAGGTTTCGGCCGCGCGCCTTGCCTCAAGACCTCTCGACTTGTTTGTTTTGTACTTAGTTGTATACCAAACGCTTGTGTTTTTACTTCTGAGGGCAGGGAATGGCTTGTTGGCCATCCCCACACCTCATCGGCCTTGGCTTGAGGCCCCGGCCTAGTTTTCTTGCTACCGGCCAAATATTTTGGTCGGTCGGCAGTGTTTTTGGTCGGCCGACCATTTTTGTTAGTCAATCGGCCATATTTTCCAACCGACCCCTGTTCATCTGCTTTATGCAGATATTTAGTGCCAGCTAGAACAGCTGGCACGCACAATTCACCCCCTCCATACACGTGTATGGAGGGATTTGTCTCTTGCTTAGCTTGTTTTGGAAGCTTTGCAAGATTGGAATTCTATATAGAGGGAGCTTCTCCTCCCTCCTCAGGGGTTCCAGAGGTCTGAAATTAAGGTTAGAAGTAGTTGTATCTATCTATCTCTATATCTCCCTCTCTTTACATATTTGTGTGTGTATAAGGTTGTTTTGTTCATACTTTTGCACACAAACACCTAGCATTACACCATCCTCTTGGAGCTAAGGTCCTTGGAGGTTGATTTTGGTGTTCTTGGGTTGCTTTGGACTCAAAAAACCTGCTGGACCATTGTTCTTAAAGAAGGTCTACAAGGGTGAGTGTTCTTACTTTAATTTCCCCATTTTTGCACAAGCTTCTAACCTATCTTGCATCTGTTTTTAAGCTTCGACTATAACTGATAAAAGTTCTGATTTTGTGTGCTTTAGAATTTTGCTTAAGGTCACTTTGAGGTTCGGGGTTGTCTCCCCCCTCCAAGGCCTTGTTAGGCCTTGTTTTAGGCCATACCTTTTGGCCATTGTTCTTAGCTTTGCATGACCTCTCTACCACTGAAATCCAGAGGATTTTCAGCGGTGGAGAGGTGGTTTTGGTGTCCTAAATAGGAGAGGGTCATCCCCTCTCCTTGTTGTCTTTGATGCTTGCACAAATGGCTTATGTTGTAGCTTGTATGCCTAGCTTGTTTTAGCTTCATTTCAGTAGGTATTAGGTTTTGTTTTGCCATGTTATACCTCTGTTTCAAGTTGGTTTAGACATGCCATGTATGCTTCATACACTTGTTGTGTAACCTCATGTTTTAGCCTTAACATGCATCATGTTGTAACATGTGTTTTTAGCATGATTTTGGCTCAATCTCATAAAGCTTCTAGCTTTGTTTTAACATGCTAAAGCTCTGATTTTGGTTGTTTTGGTCGTCCATGACTTGCTTTGTATAGCTACCATGTAATCTTGCTTGTTAGTTTCGAGTGTTGAATCCTTTAGCATGCTCCATTTGGATCATTTCAGTGGTTTGGCACCACTTATAATGCTATTTCAGTCCATATGTTATGCTTGTATGCTTGCATTTATAGCTCCTTTAATGCTTTGAAGAGTTAGGGTTGTATGCCTCATAGATGTGTCATTGTGTATGCCACCATGTCTAGGCATTTGGGATGCCATCTAAGTGGGTTTTGGGGCTCATTTTAGCATGTCATATCTCTGATTTTGGTTGCCTAAATCATGCCACGTTTGGTTATCTTAGGTGTAGTGTAACACCTCTTTGGTGGCCTTGTATGCCTCGTGCCTTGCCCCTTTTGTTTTAGCTTGTTTTAGCTTTGGCCATTGCATGTTTTAGGCTTACTTTGGCATGATTTGAAACTGTTTTGGTCCACTTTGGTCATTTGCTTCATGTGTCACATGATCATGGTTTGAGCCTTTGGGCTAGTTTCAAGCTTTTTGTGCATAACTTGTTTGCATTATTAGGTTGATTTGGCATCATCCTTTGCATGTTTTCAGAGCATTAAAATGCTTGCCATATGTCCATGTTTGTCCCTTTTAAGTGTCCTTAAAAGTTGCCCTTTTATGCTTAAGTGTTGGACCATTATACATGCATGTTTGCATGTAACTTTGTC